TTGATGTTTCTCTCTCTCTGTCTTTCTCCCTCCCTTCCCTCTCTAATAAATAAATAAATAAATAAATAAATAAAATCTTTTTAAAAAATCATTTTTAGACAGAGGGGATGAGAGCAAGAAAAGGAGAGAAACATCAATGTGTGGTTGCCTCTTGCTCACCCCCTACTGAGGACCTGGCTCACCAGCCAGGCATGTGCCCTAGACTGAGAATCAAACTGGTGACCCTTTGGTTTGCAGTCCAGCACTGAGCCCACTGAGCCACACCAGCCAGGGCTTGACTCTTCTTATCTGAGTAAGAAAAACTATACAACAGAACAGAAAGAATGTAGCTATGTAAATTTGTAGGTGAGACAAATACTGGGTAAATTTCTGGAACATCAATTCAACTTTGTTCCAACAAGGGCAGGAATATGTGACGGAAGAAGCTACTCATATTTCTCTCTCCTTCGGGTCTCTGGGCTAGCTTACCTTCCCACCGCTAAGGAAAATTTGTGCATTTGAGCAACATAGTTTGTGGTAGAGGTGTTGACTGTTAACATCTTTTGCATTTTTCATTGACTTCTACAAAACCAATCAAATCAAACAAAATAAAAGCCAAACTAAAAATATAAAAACTACCTTTGTAACTGACTCAATACCATCTTTTTAAAGCATCTAAGGTGCCCTGGCTGGTGTGGCTCAGCAGCTGAGTGCCAGTCTACAAATCAAAGGGTTGCTGGTTCAATTCCCACTCAGGGCATGTCCCTGGGTTGCAGACCAGGTCCCCAGTAGGAGGTGCATGAGAGGCAACCACACATTGATGTTTCCCTCCTTCTCTTTCTCCCTCCCTTCCCCTCTTTAAAATACATACATACATACATACATAAAATCTTAAAAACAAAGAATTCTAAGATTTTGAAAAAAATTTTTTAAAGCATCTAAGGTAATTCTGAAACAATTCAGGATGCTAATAATCAGTAGTTAACAGAAGACACCAAGGGAAAAAAATCTCATGGTCCTTAAAAAAGGGAAGTAAATTTCTTCTCAGCTAGAATGGGTTATACTTGAACAGAACAGGCTTCAATTTTCACATTAATGGTGTTTTTGGATGATCTTAGGTACCCATACGACACCCATATATTAGTATGTGTCACAACTGAACAAAGATTTCAAGTGACCTGTGGTCTGTCTGCCCTCAAATATGGGAGAAGAGGAATAATTTGGATTTAGGGGAATCACTAAAATCTTCATATTCCAGTTTGACTCTCATTAACTATCCTCTAAAAATCCAAAGATTCACTGCCACATGACCCTTACCCAAACCTAGAGACAGTTCTGGGGAAGGCTGGGGTGTTTGAATGTTACAGTTGCTGAACAAACACAGACCCTGCCTGAATGTGGAGTTTCTATTCGAGGGAAACCGCAGACTGCCAGCCAAACAAGAGCTGTCTTCATGTCTTACATGTCTTTGCAATACTCTGTCCAGGCATCTCCAAACCTTTCACTGAGAGGGAAGTAATTGTTTTACCAGAAGACATGATTTATTTGTACATGTTGAAATTGAAACATTGGAAAAAGACCAGTAGATCCAAAAGAGATGCATAGAGAGCCAGTACTATTACATCAGGGGAACAAAAAGTGAAATTTTGAAAAAAGCTCAGATAATAAACAAAGGAGAATAAAATTTGAGACAAATTCCGTGGCCACACATGAAGATGAGGGGGAGAAATGCAAAGCTCCCCTTCCCTTGGAAATGTACCAGGCGCCAGGAACGAAAAGCCTGCCCGGCGAGCACTGGAGTTCTGTGTCCGCTGGGTGCAGTGCAGAGGCCAGGCAGGGAGGTGCTCAGAGACTGCCGGCTCGCTCCCTGGTTCCCACCTATGACCAGTCACCACCTATTCTGTGTCTGACGACAGGTGTGTGTCTGTGTCTGACGACAGGTGTGTGTCTGTGTCCCACTGGCTTCAGCGCATCCCCGATTCTCTTAGGCCAGGTTGTTTACATTTCTGGGTGCTGTGGGCCACACTCCAAACTTTGGGCTTCAGAACTGCTTTGAGCAGAGAGGACAGCAACAGGTAACACTGTGGCTTGCTCATCTTTTTTTTAAAAAAAGATTTTATTTATTTATTTTTAGAGAGAGGGGAAGGGAGGAAGAAAGACAGGGGGAAAACATTAATGTGAGAGAGAAACATCTATCGGTTGCCTTTCGCACACCTCCGGCTGGGGCCCTGGCCTGCAGCTCAGGCACGTGCCCCGAACGGGAGTCCAAGTGACGACCTTTTGGTTTGCGCTGAGCCACACCCAACGCACTGAGCCACACCAGCCAGGGCAGGGCTTGCTCATCTTTGTTTCCCTCCAGAAAGGGGGACAAGCACTCCGGGCCCCTAGAACTTGGACTTGCCCTCCTTTGCTATTTTGGCCTTAATGTCTGCAATCCCTATTAAAATACCAATGCCATTCTTCTCAGAACTAGAACAAGTAACCCTAAAAGTTATATGGAACCACAGAAGACCCTGAATAGCCTAAGAAAACTTGAGTAAAAACAAAATGGGAGGGCCCCAGCTGGTGTGGTTCAGTGGACTGAGTGCCAGCCTGCAAACCCAAGGGTCACTGTTTCCTTTCCTAGTTGGGGCACATGCCTGGGTTGTGGGCCAGGTCTCCAGTAGGGGGCACACAAGAGGCAACCACACATTGATGTTTCTTTCCCTCTCTTTCTCCCTCCCTTCCCCTCTCTCTAAAAATAAATAAACAAAGTGGGAGGTATCATGTTTCCTGATTTCAAACTGTACTACAAAAGTATAATAATCAAAACAATATGGCATAACAGAGAGATCAATAGAGTAGGATAGAGAGCCCAGCAGTTAACTAAAACTGCAGTTTGGACAAGTAGCTTGCTCAAGGTTTTACACAGGGACAGATGACAAAACAGCTGGGCCTTACCCTGGCCCCTGTCCTTTTGGCCAGGACCTTCCCTTAGAGCAAGAGGCCAAGGGAGGCCCCAGACTTCAGATGGGCCAAAATCTCAGAGACTTAGAGTCACCTTAGCAAGTGGTGAGACTGGTCCAGTGAATGTCTTAGATTGACAAATATCAACAGTTTCCTCAAACCAAACCAATACTATAATGAGCTGTTTGCTCCCATCAGCCACAAAGATATTCTTTGGCCTTCTCCTGGGCACCAATTTGAAGAGAACCTTTCTACCAAGTAAAAATAACTACACTGTACTATTGTTTGAAACAGGGTTTCATGATTAAACTAGGAGAAAAAAATGCCTCTGTCTTAAACCACAAGGGGGCAGGGTTGACGTGCTCACGAACACATTTTTAAGTGAGTTGTGCATATTTGATTATAGACACAGGCGGACAGATAACATATTCTTTAAAAGCCTAGTATAGATGGACTTATAAGCCTTCCAAATTAATAATGACACTGGTTGTGCTATAGTTTATACATCATTTAACAGTTTACAAAAAGCTCCTTCACTGGCAGTATTATGTCAGCATGATACAATTCAGTGCTTGGTAAGCAACCTTTACAAGTAGATTGAAATTCCAAAAACAGTGCAGGTACCTGGAGCATATTTCATGTTGGGCTGCCCCCTGCTGATGGAGAAGGAATTTCAGAAAACAATCGGCAGAGTACACACTAAAGGATCCATATAGGTAGAAAGGAAAACCTAGTGGGGGAAACACCAGGATATTAAGCAAGAGGAGCCAAAACAGTTTGATGACAATGAGAAAGGAGAAAGACTGATAATAAGCTTAATAAATGTTAGTAAGATGCTGGTGAAAAAGGTGGAATTTTGTAGCATCTGTCACAGGGAATCAACCTGCCCCATATGCGTCTCAGCCAGGTAGACACAGCCCTGTGGGTTCACCGACAATCTCTGTGCTTGTGTTGGGATTGGGGGGCACGGGTTTGGGGATGAAGGTCTGAAAGGGGGGCATCCATTTTGGGGATGCGTGGCCAAGGAAAGCTCTTAGTTCCCCTCGCACTCAGCCTTTCACCCCTGCGCTTCTTACTTTTCCCACGGCCAGCCATTTCCATCTCTTTTTAGCAGGTATGAAACATGCAGGGAATGATAGGAAATACGCAGCAGGCACACGATACACACGTCTTCAGCACACGCATATACCCTCCACTCAGTTTGATGTGGAAGCTTAACTATTATGCCAATTCTTAATGTTTCTTCTCCCCAAGCCGTTCTGAGTGGAGAAAAATAACTTCCACTCCTGCAATGCCAGAAAGCCCCCCACACCTGGCCCAAAGAGACACAGACTGGTCCAATAAACTTGAACGGTGTGTGATTTCATCATCATCACCAGCAGAGTGTTTCTCTGGATCAACAGCGTCAGCATCACCTGGGAAGATGTTAACCACACTCTGAACCACCCCCTGGGGACGGGACCTGTGTTTTAACAAGCCCTCCCCACGAGTCGGCTGCACGTGTTTGAGAACTACCACTCTTGCCACATTTAGTCTGTCCATCTGTGATAAAGGCCAGTCAGCTGTCAAGAAATGAGCTGGGAAGATTCCCAGTGCCAGGTCATTTGGCAAAGTGGAGCGGTGGGAGGAGCTAACACTAACGGTGATCGTTACCCCAGTTCTGGAAAAATGCAAAACGGCCTGTGCAGTGTTCCCAGTCTGTGATACTGCATGGCAGCTGACAAGAAGACCTGGCTTTCCTCTCACTGGTGATGATGCAACAATAACAACCTGTTTTCCTGATCTTTTGCCAGATTTCCAGGTCATTCAACAGGTAAAATGAGAAGTAGTCTGGACTTTGCATCCCCACATGAAAGTACCACACACTGTGCTTTCTCTGATATGGACTCGTGGGCACTGCGTTTCTCACACGCTGCAGGTATTCATGCACAGAGAATTCTCAACTGTTAGCTCTGGCACGAAAATGAAGCTGCACCTAGAAGACACAAATAGGGGCTCGCATTTTTGCAGCCCACAGGTTCTGCCAAGATGTTATGTTTTCTGTTAAGAGGAATTAGTAAGAAAATCTCACAAACCTAGGTGCACCTGTTTTATGTATTCAATCAACGAGGCTCTGTTAGAATCCCAGAAGAGTGGAAGCTTTTCCTCCCGAGGATATTTGCAGCACGACAGCTCCAGCGTAATTTCAAAGCACTGGGCCCAGATGTAATTATAGTCTTGCATTCCACCTAAACACAAGCATATTTAATACTTCTTAGGGTCTAAAATTGGAGTGGAGCCGAGTATCCCACGCCTTGAGCACAAGTGAACCAGACCATTGCAAGGAAAATAGATGTACACAGGAAAAGACGAACTTGACATGTTAGCATATAAAATCAGAGCTTGACAATGTATTACCCAGGCATGACCAGGCAACCCTGAATATCCCCAAATGGGTAACTAGATCACAGCTGATTGGAGTACAACTGTGCATAAAATTAAATGAGGGGTAGGGGAAGGTTCCATTTCATAATCATACATTACGAAAAAGCGTTCTTCAAATTATATTACCTCCCTAAATATAGTGGGATTTATTTAGAACTATCCCTACACACTATTTATAATTACAGTTACTCCATAAAGCTAAGCACACTGACTTGGGGGAATGACCATGGCCAGCGTTCACGGAGTACTCACTGCTGCTGGGCACCGTGCGAAGGGCTTTGTATCAACTTGTGAGCCTCACAGCAATCACTGTGCAGATGGGGAAGCTTAATCACGGATGATCAGTTACGTGCCCAGGGAGCCCAACCAGAGCCGAGGCCGCTGCTGCTTCGGGCTGCCGCTGCCCTGCTTGCTTTCCGGTTCTTACCGCTGGAGAGCTTATGTTCAAAGGGTTATGATCATATTTCATACTTTCTAAGATGCAAAACTTCCCATATTTTAAAATCTCTGAATTGGGATGTGTCTTACATCTGATGATTTGAAAGCATCTTGGTGTCATTAGTTTGGTTGGAAATATTTTTTCTTTCTTTCTCAATAGTACGTTGTATTTTACAAGTCAATGCCATTTTGGATTTGATGAAATATAGTAATTTTGAAAGGAGGTAGCTTCTGCCATATTTTAACTTGTTATACTTGATCTCTGCCCAGTAAGATATGTACTGTTAACTACATCAGAGTATTTGGGAAGTACTAAAGTAGAAAAAAATTTTACGTTAAAAAATGGTCAAAATATTGATAAGTCAAGATATTATTTAAATATTAAATAGTACTTATGTAGGTCCAGATTCTAGCTAGGAAGAATTTCTCTGTCCTTTCTATTTTTTTTTTACTAAGAGTTTTGTATTTCTTTCTGACCTCATTTTCTCCATGAGATAGAAGAAGGGAAAAAATGGAGAGAGAAACAAAACAAAGGCCCTTGGCAGATGGCTGTGTCTCGGACAGGTAGAATTCACATGGCCCGACAGGTGTGCAAAGCATGCAGAATTGAGGATGCCAAGTGTGGAGAGGTGTGCACCTCTGGCCAAGGCCAGTTAGGCAGGCCCACAAAACCTCCAGACTGAGCCAGAAGGCTTTGTTTTAAACTTCTTAACGTAGCTGGCTGTCTGCCATTTTTTTCTCAGAAGGATACACAGCTTGCACGTGGGCACACTTGGGAAAAATTCCCGACAGCACCATTGGGGCCCCTCGCTAATTTCCCACACCTCTGCCTCTGTCTTGAAATTCACACACAGGGCACAGGAAGGACAGCTCTGCCACTGGGCAGGAGGCCCTTTCCTCCCCATGCAGAGTGAGGAGCTGGGATCAGGCTAGAGCCCTGAGGCCGGCGGGGCGGGGCGGGGCGGGGCGGGGCGGGGGGCTGAGGGAGGCTGTGCCTAGGACAGCAGAGAGAAGTCTGGGATGTTGTGGTATTGCCTGTGGTCTATGCGTATTTATGTTACCTAGGAAGCTGGCAGAAAGCCACCTGCACACCAAAGGACCACTTTATGCAAGACTACTTGATAGCCTATGCACCTGAAGTGACAACTGGGCAACTGTCCTGCCTGTAGAAGTGCAACCCGAAGCTTGCTGTTGGGAGGCTCAGGCAAAGCAGCCTCCAAGGGGACACTTTCCACTGAGGCCAGGGAACTCCAGATCCAGCCCACTGTTTTCCCTTACACCCTTCCATCTTCCTCTTGTGATGTCTCAGTTCTCAGACTGGAATGAGTTCTCCGACATCCCTGGGCTTCTGCTTATGTCCTTCCTTCTGAGAAGAGCATCCCCACTCTCATGTCCCCCCTGGCAGTTTCCTTACCTCCCCTCCCTCACCTGGCCATCCGCTCTAAGGTTGGAAAACTGGAGGCCCCCTTCCCACTGCATCCAGCCTGAAGAGCTCTCTTGGTTAACCTACAAAGTGGCTGTGAAATCATGAGGCTTCAGGCACAAACCCAGCTTGTTTTATGAACTGGAAGATCTGGCAATCAGGGGACCCACTGTGGCACAGCAGTAATTAGCTGGATCCAAGGAGCAGCTGTCCCCATTACATGAGATAGAAGCTTTCAATGTCTCCAAGGTCTTCACCCTCCCTTCTGTATTTTGGTTTTATACCCTGGCACACTGTACCTTTTCTAAATCTCTCTTTTTATTCTAATTACATTGCCATTACAATTCCACATTTGCATGTCACTCTTCTGTATTAAACTTGGGGTGGAGATCTGTGTCCTGTTCGTCGTTCTGGGCATGACTCCGGCATGAGTCAGGACTCACAGCAGGAAAAAGCTGAGCAAGCATCTGAACGAAGGAAGGCAGCCTTGGCTGTCTAAGCACCTCCCCAGCGACCAGTCTCCCCCACTGCTCTTGCAATGCAAGGGGCTACCCCATGCCTAACGAACTTAGGACAAGGGCTTGGGGCCCACAAAAACCAGCGGGTACCCCTGGGTGCAGGCCATAAGGAGCGTGACAGAAATGAAGGGAGACTCACCTTTGAGCGGATACCAAGAGTACCCATTTGTAATCCCATTAGGAAAGTCCATTTTATTTTTACACTGATCTCCTTTCTTCATGTTGAGATTTCTTGAAGCGTAGGTATTTGCAAGATGTTGAAAAACGTCATCGTCGGGGGTTAAGCTCCGGGAGTGTAATGACCCAGTTGCTACATGGGAAAGACAAACGGAGACCTCCGTGGTGACAGTGCAGTGAGAGGGAGCACACAGCGCCAGACGAGCACATACATCATCACATCCCACACAGCAGCTCTGCCTCCTAGAGAGAAACCCGTTACCCTCTCCAGAGAACGCCCCTCCCCCCTCCTTCCCCGTGGGTAATGCACACACACCAGGCGGCATCACACAAAAGCAGCCATCCACATAAACCTGCTTAACAGCTAAAGAGCCGCATGGTCACTCTTGCTCATTTCCGGAGGTCAGGGACATTTCCCTAGGTTCTATTGGGGTTAATGAAGCCACTGTCATATTTTAAGTCCTTCGTATTTACCTCATCCTGCAGAGTTTTAAGAGGAGTCAACAATTATGACTCATATGATTAGCAAAGAAGGGTAAGTTGTTCTAGTTTTATTTCCTCTTGGCCATGTGGCCTCTTGCGGGATCGCCTAAACCCCAGTTTCTCTGTTTCAGTGATGAATGTCAGGCAATCCTGTTGCTGCTGGTCAGTTGAGCCACACTGTCCATCTACGGTTTATAAATTGCAGGATGGTTGGCTCAGGGTTGAGAAAAGGAGGCTCTTTCTACCCCTGCCAGAGAAGTTAAGTGAGGAGGAGAGTTTACAGTTTCACTCTGGACTTAGCAAGCCACAGCTGGGCCCGTGTTTGCTTACCTGGAACACCGTTATCAAATGGGAAACTGGCCACCAGGGCCCCGCCGTGGAGGTTTGCGGAGAGGACAAACGTCTCTGTTTTCAGCCACTCCATGACTGCCACCGTTTCAGGCTGCCTCACTACATTGTTCACTTCGAAAGCATCAGGGAAATTTCTATTCAGGTCATAGGAGTTACCGTTTTCCCTTTAAAAGAAAGAATTTTTTAGGGTTTATTGGTCGTATGTGAGGAAGAAGATTCATGCCATGTGTGAACCTTTGGTTTTGGCTCCAGGTGTGGTGGATGGATGGTTGCCTTGGCAACCTCCAGTGGACCACACCTGGTATTCACACAATATGTCACCCCTTCCTGTGTGACTGGCTCACACCAATGGGACAGTAGCTGTTGTGATGTAAGCAGCAGTTTGATAAGTGTTTCCATTTTGGGGTGTTTGCTCATGGAACACTCCCTTTTGGGATCCTGAGATCCCCATGGTAGCCATGTGGAGAGTCCACACAGAGAAATGGGGAACCCAGGTGACCAGACTGCAGACACATGGTCCCACAGTCTCAGCCAGATCCCTGCTGAGGCCACAGGGATGCACGTGCCTGTTCTGCCCTGACAAAGTTCCTAACTTACAGAATTGGGAGTAAATAAAAAGGTGGTTGTTTTAAGTCCCAGAGTTTCCTGGTGGTTTATTACATAGCATTGAACTGGCTAAAAAGTTTGGCTTTTTCCATAAGATGGCTCTAGCAGCACTTAGTTGTCTCAACTTCATTTGAAACAATATTGTTAGATTGTATTGTGATGGCAGTCATATCAGTGTGCATTTACAAAAAACCCCATCAAAATTGGTGAATTTTGGGGTAGCCATTTTAATATTGAAGATGGAAGAAAATAAGCAACATTTTTGGCATATTATGCTTTATTATTTCAAGAAAGGTAACAATGCAACTGAAATGCAATAAAAGATTTGTGCAGTGTATAAAGAAGGTGCTGTGACTGATCGAATGTATGGAAAGTGGTTTGTGAAGTTTCAGCTAGAGATCTTTTGCTGGACGATGCTCCATGGTGGTCGGTAGACCAGTTGAAGTTGATGGAGGTCAAATTGAGACATTAACTGAGGACAATCAATGTTCTACCATGTGGGAGATAGCTGACATTGTCAAAATCAATAAAGTTATTGGTGAAAATGAAAAATGAGCCTTTTATTTTAGGGAAAAAACTAAAGAGACTTTTTGGTCCACCCCATATTTGATAACAGAAACCACTGGAATGTGCTACTTTATACAAATGTATTTCTAAAAGCGGCACTGACCGTGTTTAAGTATGCTAGAAAAACTTGAAGGAAATCAAGTGGTGAGATTTTATTTATTTTGGTAAAAGTAACCAAATTTTAGTTGCACAAATATAAATGTATATTAGACATTTGAGAAAATCCAAACTTCCCGAGGTAACTTGAAACAAAATAAACAGTTTAAATCAGAAACGCTGCTTCCCTCGCTGACAGCAGCGCTCTCGCAAACACGGTGAGTGCTCCTCAAACCCGCAGGACCTTCTGTGAGGAATGTGGCAGACATCACCCCCACGAAGCGACACAGCACAAGAAGGGCAGGATCCTCGGCATGGGCAGGGTCAGTGGCATAACGACAGGAAGCAGAGTGACTGTGGTGGGCAGATCAAGCCCATTTTCTGCAAAAAGGCTAAAACTACAAAGAAGACTGTGCAGAGGCTTGAATGCATTGAGCCCAACTGCAGATCCAGGGAAATGCTGACTGTTAAGAGAGTCAAGCATTTTGAATTGGGAAGAGATAAGAAGAGAAAGGGCCAAATGATCCAGTTCTGGGCTTCAAATTTTGTTTTATCATGAAGACAAGATCTTTGGGGGTTCACTTCAAAAAGAACAGAGAGAGAGGGAAGAGAAAAGGAAGGAAGGAAGGAAGGAAGGGAGGAAGGGAAGGAAGGAAGGAAAACGGGAAGACAGACTATAAGACTCACTGTTCTTTTTGGTTAGTTCCTGCCCTGGCTTAATAAATCAAGTGGTAGTTACTGAGGGCCTAGGTACTAATGCTAGACCCTGGGGATTTAACAATGATGAACATACTGGACGGGATTCCTGCCCTAAGGTAGCTTATAGTTCAGGCAGTAAACAAGAAATTAGACATTAAAAATTGTGCTGTGAAGGTCAAGTGCCAGGTGACATGAGTATGATCAGGGACCTAATACATGTATGATAGGCTAGGACGGAGTCTTTGCCAACATGCTGGTGAAGCAGTGGGAGGCATGAGGAGGGGGAAATGGGAGGTGAGGAAGAGCCTGGCAGTTGCGGAGATGGAGGGCATCTGAGCTTTCGTGCGGCATGAGAAGGAGGAATGGCAAATGAGGCAGGGAGGTGGGCAGCAGTAAAGCAGCCTTCTTCGGGATTTTACTTTTCACTCTAAAAGCAACAGGCAGGCAGCCCTGAGGAGTTCTCAGCACAGCTGTGACAGGACACAGGCTACAAGATGGTTCCCCCACTGCTTTTACTTGGGCCAAGGGGACTCGCTCATGGGAGCCTTTTTGTTGTTGTTGTTTTTAAATTCTGTTTTCTCTTTTTAAAAATACTTTATTTTTAGAGAGAGGGGAAGGGAGGGAGAAAGAGAGGAAGAGAAACATTAACATGTGGCTGCCTCTCACACACACCCCTAACTGGGAACCTGCCTGCAACCCAGGAACTAACCAAAAGCCCTGCAAGCCCTGACTGGGAATCAAACCGGCGACCCTTTGGTTTGCAGGCTGGTGCTCAATCCACTGAGCCAAATCAGCCAGGGCTTGTTTTGTTTTATTTTAAATAAAGATTGAGTAGCCCATCCTTACCTTCCATTGGTGTAAAAACAGTCAGGCTTTTTGACAGCTTCAAATCCATCTGGGTTCATTGAAGGCATGATGTGTATCCGGGTACTATTGATTAAACTTGTGATTTCAGGGTCTTTCCCATCATTGGTTACGAGATATTCAATTAAATGTAGCAGCAGTTCACGCCCTACAGTCTGTATGTGGGAAAGGGGTATTATTAGGTCAGAGGAAAATAAGAAAAATAGTCCACAAAGCACAAATTCCCCAATAAGGGAACTCTACACAGAGTAGATACCAAAACCAGTTGCAAGAAAAGAGACCACTGTTTCCCAATACATGCCGATACTCTGGCAAGTGGCAATCAGTCACAGGTGTGTTGAAAGTTGTTTGTTAGTACAATTTTTAAAAAAAGTTAATGAAAAAATACCCATCTGTAAATAATTGACTTTTCTTTAATTTTTTTATTTAATTATTTTTAGAGAGGGGAAGGAAAGGAAAAAGAGGGAGAGAAATATCAATCGGTTGCTTCTCACACTCCCGCAACCCCAGTGACTTGGCCCACAATCAGGCATGTGCCCTGACAGGGAATCGAACCAGCAATCTTTCCATCTGCAGGATGATGCCCAGCCCACTGAGCCACACCACTCAGGGCTATTGATAATCTACTTTTTGAAAAGGAATTAGAGTGAACTCAAAACACCAATTTAAAATAATACATGCACCCCCCATGTTCACTACAGCATTATTTACAATAGCCAAGCTATGGAAGCAGCCCAAGTGCCCATCAATAGATGAGTGGATAAAAACATTGAGGGACACAATGGAATATATTCAGCCAGGAGAAGGAAGTAATCCTGCCATTTGCCACAACATGGATGGACTTTTAAGGCATTATAGCAAGTAAATGATCCCGACAGAGAAAGACAAATACTGCATGGCATCGCTTATATGTGGAATGTACAAAGCCGAACTCAGAAACAGAGGCTAGAATGGTGGCTGCCAAAGGCAAGGGGTGGGGGAAATAGGGAGGTGTTGATCAAAGGGCACAAAATTTCAGTTGTAAGATGATTAAGCTCTGGAGATATCATTTACGGTGTAGCGACTATGTAATTAACAATACTGTACTATATACTTGAAAATTGCAGGAAAAAACCCACATCGTGGTACATATATATATACAATGGAACATTACTTGTCCATAAAAAAACCTTACCATTTGCGACAGCACGGATGGACCTAGAGGGTGCTATGCTAAATGAAATAAGTCAGTCAGAGAAAGACAAATACCGCATGATTTCACTCATCCAGGGGTTGGCAAAAGCAGGTTTACAGTTTTGTGTACATGAGTTTATTTTTTTAATTGTTATTGTATTATTTGTTATGAGCAACTGTAAACCTACTTTTGCCCACTCCTAAAGAGCAAAATAAATGAACAAACAAAATAGAAACAGATTCATAGGCACAGAGAACAGATTGATGATGGCCAGGGTTTGGAGAGGGCTGGGTGAAAAAGGTAAAGGGATTGAGAAGTACAGACTGGTGGTTACAAAACAGTCACGGGATGTAAAGTACAGCATAGAGAATACAGTCAGTCTCACTGGCATAACTATGTGTGGTGCCAAGGGGATATGAGCAGTATCTCGGGGAACACTTTGCAAAGTATGCCATATGCCTGAAACTAATATAAAATAATACTGAATGCCAAAAAAAGAAAAACTTCGTGTCACTACCATTTTTCTAGAGATATGTTTCTAATGTACACTAGAATAAAAGCATGACTATGAAAATAGTCATTATACTCATCTAGACTTATCTTATGTAGCAATGAGACTGATCAACTGGAAGCCTGTGAGAGGTCATGCTTTACAACCCCCAAAGAAGAGATTTACTATTTTTCTCATTAAAAAATAAAAGTCATTCACATTTCAGCCTTATTAGAGAAAGAATTGATTAGGCAACATTCATTACTCCCTCTAATCCTGGGTTCAAGGAATGTTTCTGAGAAAGTGATGTTTGCCTGACATAAGGTCAGATGCCGTGAGTGGGTAGGAAGCGGGCAGAGGGGCCGGCAGGTGCACAAACAAGGACAGTGCTGCAGAGCACTGACTGAGGCTCGCAGTGGGCAGGGAGAAGTTCAGTTACACCTCCACTGCAGGAAGTCACTGTTGTGACAAAAGATGAGCAATTCCTTCGTGCCCCTCAGTGGCAAGCAAGCAGAGACCTCATTTTATGAATTTGTTATCTGAATAAACACAGAATAACTGGGACTAAGAAAATTTGGTATATGTGAATTACATATTCATAGGTAGCTATAAAATTCAGAGTGGAAATATATTCAGTTCTGACTTCAATTTTTTTCCTATTCATTTCTATTTTTTCCCCTACTGTGAATTTTTTTATTCTTGTATTATTATTTATTAATTATTGCATTATTTTCTGTATGAACTGTAAACCTAGCTTTTACAGTAGGGACCGCCAAGTCCGCCAGCCACCTCCTCGCCTGCCCAGGTCCACCAGCCACTGCCTTGCTGCGAGTCCTCTCTACCCGGCTGCCCATCTCTGCCCCTCCTCCACCCCTCCTACCAGTCTGGGTGAGTGTTTCTTCTTTAAATCCTTGGTGGTCAAACTTACATACAGTTCAATTTTCTGTCAGTTCTGGTTGGTTTTTGTTTTTAAATTTGGTGTCCTTTTGGTTGTGCGAGGAGGCACAGTGTGTCTACCTATGCTACCATATTGGCCAGAGGTCCTGTCGAGTTTTGTATTTACAATAAAAATTATCACTTGAGCCCTGGCTGGTGTAGCTCAGTGGATTGAGCACTGGCTGAGAACCAAAGTGTCGCAGGTTCGATTCCCAGTCAGGGCACATGCCTGGGTTGCAGGCCATGACCCCCAGCAACTGCACATTGATGTTTCTCTCTCCCTCTCTATCTCTCTCCCTTCCCTCTCTAAAAATAAACAAATAAAATCTTTAAAAAAAATTATCACTTGAAAAGCCCTTATGAACTGATAACCAGAAAAGGCTAGTGAGCCATACACTGGGTTTCCAATTCGGAGTTTCGGAAGCTCAAGCACTTTTGGACGTACTCTCCATGTGTCATTTACTGACTACCCTAAAACCAGGAGAGAGGGGACTGGTGACTTTGGTTTTCCAAGGTAACTTTAAATGTAGAAAGTGTAGTTGATTTAAGGAGCTCTTCTGGCAAGGGGTTGGGGAAGAAAAAAAAGTAAAGGAAAGGGAGGAGGAAGAGATCAGGAATCACTTGCAGCTCCTAAAACTTCCAAATGCTGGTTGGAGACTGTAGGATGGTTCGATCGGAGGGACCACTCAGGAGAAAGCGGAGTCCCATCTGCGTCCCAGGTCAAGCACAGAGGGGGCCCCGAATGTGAGTTTCCCTCTTTGTTGTCTGAGCCGCACATCCTCAAGCACGCCAGAACTCAAGGCATGAGTTGGCAATGAAATTCATTCAACCAAAAGCAAATGAAAACAAAGAAGAAATGTAAAGAAGCTATGATTAAGCTATAAAAGTAGATTAAGCAACTGTGTTAATATGGGTACAGGATACAGTATAAAAGTTAGATTTATAGTTAACAGAGAGGGTAGAGGCTGGGGCAAGGAGAGGAGAGGAGAGGAGAGGGGAGAAAACTTTTCCAAGTGCCAATTTCCCACTTGCCATAGCAATGGCTTGTAAGATACTATTAAAAGTTAAAATAACTTAAAATATTTTTGAAATTTTTTTGTAATTGTTTTCTTGACTTTAGAAGACTCTTTTGATAACCAATTTCTTATTTTGAGAAAATATCAAGTTCACCAATTATTTTAGTTCCACTTCAGTTTTATTGCCAAATCCAAGTAAAATTAAATCTCATACTTACTATGTATTTAAAAATAACATGTACTATGACACACATTTTATTTTATATCCTTTTAATTCCTCTCATTCTCTTACTACAAATATATATATATATCTTGAATAATATTTGACAAATATTAGTGATGGTTATTTTCTAGTGATGGTATTCTGAATGATCTTATTTCTTTTTATTTTTCCAGTGTCACTTGTAAATTAAAGAAAACTTATGGTAGTAAAAAAAACAATAAAATCATGATTTTTTTCAAGTAAAAATGTGTAATAAAGATATTTTCTGTTTGTCTCCATATGCCAAAACAAATCACAAGTTCCTAACTGCAGAGGACAAATAAAAATCTTGGAAATACAATAAAGAACTAATGAAGAGTCAGATAACTTAAAAATGCTGAGGTAAACAGATGAAATTTCAGGGGAAGTTAAACAAAGTCCTCTTTTTTGTTGTTGGGACACATTTTTGGTGTCTCTGTGACAGCAGATTTATGCCAAATAATATTCAAATTAATTCTTCCCAACCTTAATATAAATGTCTCAAACACTCATGTTTTATGTATAAACTTCTCTTCATTTAAAATTAAGTCTTTAACTATGAAACCTTAGAGAATCCAAATTTTAAGAAAGAAAGCAGGCAGTCTCCAGTAGCTTAACTAGCCTTACTTCACTGAGCCTGCTTCCTTCCTTCTGGGGAGAGTGTGGACTTAATGAGAGAATCCCCAATGAAGTCACTGAAAGGCTGGATGAACACACCAGCTTCTGAAGCCTTTCATTCATAGTTCATAGTTCATAGTTCATACTTCATAGTTAAAATGGCAATAATCCAGAAAACAGAAAAGAACTATGAGTTTTAATTTAGTTCAGTCAAGTTGGAATTTTTTAGGTAAAATTGAGTGAGTTCTTTCAAGAATGTGTATAAAGAATATAAACACTTTGCTCTGGCTGGTGTGGCTCAGTGGATTGAGTGCCAGTCTCGGAACCAAAGGGCCACGGGTTCGATTCCCAGTCAGGGCACATGCCTGGGTTGTGGACAGGGTCCCCAGTTGGTGGGGCACTCAACAGGCAAAAACACATTGATGTTTCTCTCCCTCTTTCCCTCCCTTCCCTTCTCTAAAAATAAATAAATAATTTTTTAAAAAAAAGAACATAAACATTTTTTAGCATTAACAATCCACAACATAGGCAGTGTGTTGTGTGAGAGTGAGTGTGAGAGGTAGCACAAAAACGTCAGCTCTCCTAGCGACAGAATCTGTTGTTGCAATGCTGCACCGTATCCCAGCTTCTGGGGGAAATATAAGCCTGTCAGTTCTGAGGCTGCGCAACAGTGTTGCAGA